TAGTCAAGCCCCGAGCTCCAGCCTGTGGTACGAATCTCCCAGAGGCTTGAGATGTCCGCACAGAGAAACAACTGCGATGGCAGCACTGCAGTTCGTACCGCGCCTGCAGCAAAGCATCTCCGGCAAAGCCCTCCTCCTCCTCACCTCTCCTGAAGGCAGGAAGACAATCCCAGGGGAAGCACGAGCTGCCACCCGGGATCTGTCGTGGGCGTCTCTGGCTTCCCGCTGCCCTGACCAGCCTGGAGGGAAGCTGGAATCAGATACTAAAGCAGAGATACTTAACTCCCCCCCTTGCCAAGCTCCGGAGCTGAGGCGGGAGCAAAGGGAGACACAGGGAAGCGGAAGGGAAGCCGCCAGAACCGCTACTGCTGTTAACACTTCCCATTTTAATTGCCTTAATGACGCCCTGAGGGATAGATGTGGGACTCAGCAGTGCCCTGAGGAGCTGAGCTGGAACACAGCTGTCACCACCAACCCCCCTCCAGCCCATCTTCCTTCAGCCAAGTAATTAGTGCAGTTAATGATGCTGGCTGGAGAGCCCTGCGGTCTGCAACCCCCCCACGGCAGGAGAGGGACCCTGACCACCAGGTGGAAGCTGCGTGGCCAAGTGAGCCGTGCTTTCCAGCTGCTCCCTGGGGGTGCCAGGAGGTCTCCCAAACAGAGAACCACACCATTCACCTTCCTTAAGTCTGCCTGAGATTTCCTGCTCCCCTCTTCTGGGATGAACTGGGGCACAGAGGCAGCACTACATGGATAAGGACAGGATGGAGATGACACGCAGGACTGTATCAGGACATGATGGAGATGACAGCCAGGACCTGGGACCTCCTGGACTGTCTGGGTGCTGCGGCACCACCACCAACCCTCACCCTTACCCCTCGCTTGCTTTCTCTTCCCTGGTCCCTGTGGCAGGGCAGGGGCAGCACCTCCACTCACAAGTCCTCTTGGCTCCACAGGGTGACTCAGACCCCGGGGTGCTGGACATGGGGGAACACAACGGCTGGTGGCCCACCAGGGAGGTTCAGGCATTGCCCACCCGACCCAGGCACCCTGCAGCTCACATAAGACAGCCAGGAGCAAGAGGGTTGAGCAGCTCTGATGTGCTCCAACAGCCGAGGTGGGCTTTGACCCAGGCTGTGCCACTTGTCCTGGGAGATGGCCAGGCATGCCCGGTGCCACAAGGCAGAGGTGCAGCCTCCCGCAGAGCCCCATCCCAGGACACAGCTCCCTCTCGGCAGCAGCACCCGGGCCACAGGGCTCGAGGGGACGCGGTGTGATGGGAGGCACTGTGCCAGGACCTGTCTG